ATAATATATGAAAGCAATGAACTTAAATTTTTAAATAATATATAAAAGCAATGAACAAATATACATAAGTTCAATTGTAACATTTCAGTAACAATTCAAATAAAAAAAAATTAAAATACCTCGTAATGTTGTTGATTTTGATTTGGACCATTGTAACTAAGAAATTGGCTTTGATTTTGATCGTTGTAGCTAAACAAATTATCTATCCAACCGTCCATCACACACACACGAATTTTGATTTTGATTTTGATTGTATGACATGTACATCACACACACACACCACATATATATAGAGCCATTTAAGTCTTTTGGATTCCTTGCCATTCATTCTACACGTAATTTCATTTCACTAACAACAATATTAACTAAAAAATATGAATTGAAATTGTAAATTTACAAAATATATGTATTAAAATTATCAAGTTCAAAAAACTATCTATTGAAATCATAAATTTAAAATAAACATATATCGAAAAACAAAAAAAATGGACCAGGAAGGCAAGGAGGCAGAAAAAAAAAATGGCTGCTGGCTGCTCCGTTTTTTTTTTTTTTTTTTTTTTTTTTTTAATTACATTTTGACCTCATAATTGTAAATTTAATAGGGTGGTGCAAATAGCATTTTGACCACCCATTAGGCAATTTGCACCACCCATATTTACTACCTTTTTACATTTTCAAAGTGCTTTATACCTCATTTTAGTCAATGGGTGGTGCAAATAGCAACACCCCTAATGATGACTCCGACCAAGTTATTTTTCAACGTATTTAATAATTATAATATTGTAATAGTAATAAGCATTAACTCTTTCACTTTCATCACTGCAGTAGATGGCAACTCCCAAACATTTACAATTGGTATTTTTTGGGGGGACCAATTAGGAAGCTGAATAAGACTTCCTTCTGGCAATTGAAAACAAAAGTGAAAACTCAGAAGTGCTTCACATGACTTTTTTTGTTGGGTTGTATTCACATGACTTTAATTGCAGCAGTCAACAAATTGACAGCCGCTAATCCGCTATCATGAAGAGTAAAAAATACCATTACATGATCCTTTATTTTTGATAGCGGCTGAATATATGTTCTCCATCAAACAACATATCTTACCGAAAATTGATTAGCTCACACCAATAAAGCTAAGAAGCAGTTCTTATAGAGAGTCAAACTTAAAACATTATGTTTACCAAGTCAACTATCTGACCAATTAGACTAGGATAATCCTTAGCTACTCTAGTTGTAACGGGTTATGAAAAATTTTGATGGAAGAAGGGATTAAAACCCTTCATCTTTGTCCATATTTAGACACAATTGTTTACTTTTATAAAATATTGTTATATATATCTATAGATGAAGACTTTATCTTTGTCGGTCTTTGTTTAAATTTAGACAAAAGTCACAGTTTTTTTAGGTATTGTAATCTTGACCAATTATTTTTCAATGAATTTAATAATAATATTGTAATAGTAATAAGCATTAACTCTTTCACTTTCATCACTGCAGCATAGGGCAACCCCCAAACATTACAATTGGTTTTTTTTTTTTTTTTTTTTTTTTTTTTTTTTGGGACCAACTAAGCAACTGAATAAGACTTCCGTATGGCAATAATATTTGAAAACAAAAGTGAAAAGTGCTTCACATAACTTTCATTTGTACCAGTCAATTTGACAGCCACTGGCATGCATGTTATGAATAGTCAAAAAAGGTTCCTTGCGCCGGGCATCAATCTAGTAGATGAGAAGTCTCACTTAAAACTTACTTCCAATAATAGAATGGATGTTCAGATCGATTCCTGCTAAGGGCATTGGATCGGAGATGTTGAGTCTCGAAACTAGATTGACTCAATTTATCTCTTCATAAGTTCAAGGTAGTGGATTCATGAGATTCATAATATAATAAAAGCAAAATAATATGTCCTCAAACTTAAGGAATACTTCATCCCAAAAGACTAGTCTGATAAAAGAGAACATTTCCATTCAAAGTATTATTTCATAATCGCTGATCTTCTAGAATGGACATGAACTAATGCACTTTATACTCCAAACTTTAATGATCAATGCATTAATATGTATCAATTTGCCTAATGTTTTCTTGTGCAATCATTATTCTATGGACTATAAAAAATTATATTTTTAATATACTAAAAGAGTAAAAGTATATTATTTTAGTATTCAAAGTACATTATATTGTATATTATCAAATACTGTACATTCAATATATAAATAATGTAATTTTAATATATTAAAAATATATATTGTATTCATGGTCTAGAAAATATTTACTTTTCTTTTTGTCGTTTTGCAGGTATTCCCAAATCCCAATTCCTGTATGGGACAGACCAAATCCATGGTTGTCTAATAGATTCTGCACAACTAAGTTGGGCCAAACTCTTGAATAGACTCAAATACAAATAGTCCACTAGAGTTTGCCCCATACAATGTTATGTTTTTTAAACATCCATCAAAAAAGCAGTCTGGTCTACACAAGTTGTGTGGACTATATTTTGTCTACTGTAAAATAATGTACATTCAATATAAAAATAATGTATATTCAATACAAAAATAATATACATTATATTCAGTGGATGTACATTATTTTTGTTCTGAGTGTACATTATATTGTATAATGTACATTCAGTACAAAAATAATGTACATTTAGTATATTAAAAATGTATTTTTTGTTATGGTCCACATAACATTGTGTGGACCATATTGCCTCAAAAAAGTTAACTCTTCGTTTCAAAAAAAAAAAAAAAAAAAAAAAAAAGTTAAATTCATGTACTCTATGAAACTAACCTTAATGAGCCTTACAAGAATAATTGGTAATTTAGTTATGGCCCACAGGGTCCACAACGGCAAATTATGTTGTGGACCATGCGTGGTACACATGGAATTGGATTCATATTTTATACTATAGATTCATAATTATTAAATTCTATATTCACAATTACAGAACTATATATTCATAATTTTCGATGTTCATATTCTCAATTGTTGAACTCTGTATTCACAAATTACAGAACTATATGTTCATAATTTGATAATTATACAGTTTAGAAATTATGAATCTATACAGTACAGAAATTATGAATCTACAGTACAGATATTATGAATATGTAGTATATAAATTATGAATCTACTGTATAGAAATTATGAATCTACGGTTTAGAAATTATGAATCTACAGTATAAAAATGATGAATCTATAGTATAGAAATTATAAATCTATAATACAGAAATTATAAATATATAGTATAGAAATTATAAATCCAATTTCATGTGCACCTTGCATGGTGCACACGGTTGCACAGCATAACGCTCCGTCCACAACCCATGTGGACAACGGTCTACACATCTGTGTGGACCATACTATCAAGTAATAATATACATTCAATACATAAATAATGAATTTTTAATATATTAAAAGTATACATTGTATTCAGAAAAAGTACATTATTTGAGTACATTATTTTATATAATGTAATTTAGTACACAAATAATGCATGTCCTTTTAATATATTAAAAATATACCTTTACTTTTCAAAAAAAAATTTACATTTTGTTATGATTCACACAGTATAGACCATGATCCAGTAATAATTTGCCGCCAACAATGGTTACTTCTCGCAGCAAATTGTAAGCCTGTCCTTCAATACTGTCGCGGCTTTGGTTGCGATTTTCCAAGGCTTGTTTTTGGCTACCTTTCTATCTCGCTATATCTCTGGGTAACCTCTTAAAGCTAAATATTTCGTAATTGAAATTTTCAGATGCATTTGTCAATATTTATACTAAAGTAAAAAATAAATATTTATATGAAAAGTTAATTTTATAAGACACCTTGAAAATAACATACAAATAACATTGAGAACAGCGAACCGTGTGGCTCATGAGTTAGCTCGGGCAACCGATTCTACAGCTGCCTCAGGGGTGTGGATTGATATCCCACCAGCTTGTATTGCACGTTTTTTCACTCAGTAATGAAGTTCGTTCCGTTTTGTTTCAAAAAAAAAAAAAAAACATACAAACAACATTCTAGATAAACACCTTGAAAATAATATCCAGTAATTACTCTTTATTAGCACTTGTTTTCTGTAATTATGAAAAGACTAATTGATAAATACAATGTTTGTCTAGAAATTTCTTTTCATTGGACGGTGAAGTTTTTTCCTTTTTATTTTTCAAAACTTGGGGGTTTTTTTTTTAATAGTAAAAGATAGAGTAGAAGATTTATTTTTTAAAAATAATAAATGGAATAATTTTGCAATTTTAAAACAATTTTTATAGTTTAATGACATAAAATGTAATCTAGCTATACTCTACTTCTTTTTTTTTTTTTTTTTGAAAACTAAAAGATGAATCATATACTAAAGCAAACTCGAAATACAAGGAGGAATAGACTCCCACACCCCTAGGACAAAATTAGAACATGTTGTCCGTGCTAGCACATTAACCACATAATTCGTTGACCTTTTGACATGGCGAACAAAAATGTACTTGAATGTGTGATTCAAGTGAAAATATGACGACAACAAAGTACATCAACATATGTTGCCTATAGCTGATTGTCACATCTCCCACAGAAAGTCAAACTGAAAAGGTGTTAGTAAGAATCAAATTTGTAAGGATTGTAGTGTGGTTTTATCATCATACATTCATATATAGTTCCATACCAATATCTTAAGCAGCAATTTGTATTGGATAACCTGCCTTACTGGAAACTATAGTATCCCATCATACGCCATTGAGGTACTAACTTGTAAATAAAAATAAAAAATGCAATTTGATTGAAAGATATACATACTGAATTGCATATACATTACTGAATTGCATATGCATATATGGCTACCAACAGAAAGCTAGGGTTAACTTTCAACATAGGAGATACCAAAACTTCAATTCAAATAGCTGGCTGCAATCAAATTCATTTTATCATTTAATTTATTATGGAAGAAGCTTCAAAATTCATACGACTGGCAACTTATTTTGCAAGTTAATATGGGCAAAAAGTGGACAAAGGACAACATCATTCAATCATATATAGAATGCAACTTCAAAGAGAATACTCATTTTCTGAATTACAAAGAATAATGAGAATCACAAGGAAGATTTGCTAAGACTCAATGCAACTTTGCAACTTCAAAGAGAATACTCATTTCTGAATTACAAAGTATAATGAGAATCACAAGGAAGATTTGCTAAGACTCAATGCAACTTCATAGAATGTATTACTCTCTATATATAAAGAAAGAATTGCAAATTAGAGGAGTAAAGGCCGACTTTGAAAAGCAATCTCGTAACTGGATTACCACTAAAACAAGAATCCCTCCCTGCTCTATCCTGGGAGATTCAGGAGGTATATGTTGAGATTCCAACAAATTTCTTCTAGAGTCACTGTGGGAACCGATCAGATGAAATTGGAAAATGCGACATCACTGTCAGATCAAATTGCTGCTGCTGACTATCCCTGCACTTTCATGAGATTCTGGAGATGTACGGGTATATGTTGATTCCAGCAATTTTGTTTCTGGAGTCATTGCAAAAGTGGGAACTGATCAGATGAAATTGCAAATCGCGAGATCACTGTCAGGAAAAAAAAAAAAAAAAACTCTGGAATTGTATCTATAGCACGCACTTAATGTGTACTAAAAGCAGGACTGAGAATACCTTGGAAAAACCTGAAGATCTTGACGACAATCTGGTAGTTGCAGATGGTCATTATGATGTTTAGTCAGTAGCAGGGAAGCATCTGTTTAAGCACATCACTGAACAGTAGTTTAGGATTTAGCTAATTTCACAAGTTCATTGTAAACACATGAGTGTTGTGTGACAGTGGAGAATTATATTTGCAGGCCTCAACTTCAGTTGGTAGGTAAATCCTGAGAAAACACAGCCTGCACCTTATGGGAATTCTGAGTTCCAGAAGAAACACTATTTCATTGGGCAATATTTATCCTGCAGGATAAAGAAAAAACACAATAATAATAATCAGAAACTCGTTGCCATATTCATCAATAAACTTCTAATTAAAACAAATCTAAATATATATATATATATATATATATATATATATATATATCAACTCTCCCGATTGAAAACCCTTCAATTCCTGCAAAAACAACATTATTTTAGGCACTGCATATATAACTAACTGGTAAATCATATAAAAAACTAAACAACAAAGCACCAGAAACGAGCTCAGCTTATTATTAATACCTAAACCTGTAAAAGCGCAGAAAGTCAAAGAAATAAAGATCAGGTTAGCTTAACAAACTCAATAAAGAAAATGAACTAGAATTGAAATGGAAAATTTCTGTAAAATGAGGCAACAGTGTCAAAGTTTCCAACAATCATCCTGTCACATTAAGGTTTCTAGAAATAATAATATTACTCTAACTCTGTAGTATTGATACAAGTAAAGCAAATGAATCAAGGGAAGGGGGGGCACTTCAGAGAATAAGTTATGTCTCACAAAGGAATATAAATTTGTGAGATGGTGCTGATCAATACAAAATAAGAAAGCTCGGTCAAGCAATAACATCAAAACTTAAAAATACAATGACCACCGAAGATCTGCAATCAACTGACAGTGTGACAAATCAAATGGCTGTATCATGCATGCATCGAGCAGAATACCGAGCTACTTTATCAGATATTTGAGTTTTAATGTTACACTAAAGGAGCTCAAATGTGATAATAATAAGTCCAGCTACATAATAGAGTTAAATCACCTAGTAAGTTATGGAAGTGCTTTAATATAAGAGTTTCCTACAGACTTGGCAAGACATTCTAGCCTGCCATATATAGATGGTCTACTTATATAAAAGTGTTCTTCATTATTGTCTCATGAACTAAAACGCAAAATATATAGAATAATCAGTTAACATCTAGTCGTCCATTCCATCTCCAACTTGGCTACATATGGGACTAACAGCAGAGAAAGATCTCTCAAATGGTGATGGATGGAATGTTGCATCCCGTCTGCGCTTAAAAGCACAGCTGTCAGAGGGTGAACTATCAGCATCAAACTTCCTCCGTATACCTTTCACAGCCTGCTCTTCAGCCGGTGTAAATGGAAAAATCTGCTTGCTCACTCTGCAGAGGGAGCTATGATTGTCATACAAAATTCTCTGATTACAGTTTTTGTCACAAATGTGGGTCACCCCAGTTAGTCTGCATCTGTACATGTTCCCACACACATGTTCGTTTTCACATTTCCAATCGCACTTGTGAACAGGGTTTGGCCCATCTTGGCCAAGAATACTTGACAGAAAAATAACATTTGTAGGCATGGCTACCATAGATTTGCCAAATACCTCCATTGCTAGCTTCAGTCTTCAAGAGCGAGCGAGCGAATCTCTGGTGAGTCCCACAACCTAGCTGCCCAGCGTTCAATGTCTGTAGAGGCACCACAATACGAGAAACCATCAACATATGCTGGATGGAAGGACCAATTGCTCTATCACTAAGGATGTAAAACTATTGCCCTGGATTTAACTTTAGGAAGTAATCTATTCTTTATCGGGAACCAAGCAGTACTTGCCAATCAAGCCTAACAACAAAATGCAGCAGCTTACCCAACATATAGATAGAGCTATCTATCTCAAGAAATACGTTACAGGATCACGATAGCAAACACAGCTAAGCCAGGCTAAATTGTATTCATGCTGTAAGATCGAGCCATATTATGCCAAAGATATATCATCTTTGAACAATTACACCGTATATCTCCATCTAAATTACAAGACGTTAAGTAATATGCACAAATCTATCTCCTTACATTCATGGAATAAAAATAGAAATGGTTCGTTAATAATATTACTAAATTACCTTATTTGGCTAAACCTGTACACAATATTGACTCCCACATCGAATTCAACGACAATATATATGCATCCTACGTTATGCTATATATAATTTCAGCTACACAAAATATTAAATTAAAGAAACGAAAAAGGAAACCCCTTCTTTTCCCATAATCAATCACTATTGGAATTATGGAATTTAACATCACATGAATACGAAGAACAGCGATTATAAAAGAGAGAGAGAGGGGAAAGAGAAAATCTTGACACCTACCTGTGTAGATCCCAGAGTACCGCCTTATCTCTCTCTCTCTCTCTCTAGCCTCCTTCTCTCTAGCTCTCTGCGCACCACGCCTACAGTGAAGCAAAAAAATGGCGAAAGGAAAGGGGGAGAAGGCAGTATTTATAGAGTGAGAGGCAAGGATAAGCGCGTGATCCGATTGTTGTGTGAGTGAGCCGTTGGGGAGTGAAATGTAAATGCAGATGAAATGCGAGTGAAATTTGGGTGAAATGGCAAGGGTTTTTTGTCATTTTGTGTGTCGGGTCTTCCCTCCCTGGCTTATAAAGTCGTCTCCTCCGTCGTCGTCGCAAAGGAAAGGAGACGGAAATGCATCCTCCGTCACGTGCCCCCTCTCTTTTCTGTCTTCTTTTTACTAACGGTCTTATTCTCGGAGTCTTCTGCGACGATAGAACCAGATTGAGTTGACTTCAATGGCCTACCAGAGACTAACACGTGTCGCCTTTCGCGCCCTCCTCGTCTCTGTCTGTCTATGCCGTTTACTTGTTCTTCACCAAACGCTTTTGAAAATATATGTCCAAAACCATCCCCCGTTTTCCTCGTGCTCTAGACTCTCGTTGGTGAGATGAGATTTGGGCCTGATGACCTCAATTCTACTACATGGGCTATAAGCCCATACATACTCAAACCAATAGTTTTTTTTTTATTATTATTATAAGGGAAAGGAAATACACACGTATAAAAGCTACTCAAATTATGTTGTGAAAACGTGCTCATTATGCGCATGGTGAACACAATGGTAGATCGATATAGAAATTATGAATCTACAGTATAGAAATTATGAATCTACAGTACGGTATAAAAATTATGAATTTACAATATAAAAATTATGTTGTACGCTACAGATCCGTAATTTCTATGCTGTAGATCCATAATAATTATGGATCTACAGCTTAGAATTTATCCTGTATTTACATGCGCATGGTAAACATGGTTTCATAGTATAACTATCGTAGAAGCTACTACATTAAATATATCTCCATAATCAACTTTATCAAGGCTCAAACACACTACCTCCCATATAGGGACGCAACTTGGTACCATTGGACTACAAGGTACTTTATTAAAACTAATAGTTATTACACTCAAATTATGCTGTGGAACCGCAAAGTAGACACGATTTCAAAACTGTCATAATTGTGAATATAGAGTTCAAAAATTATGAATATAGAATTATATAATTATGAACATAGAGTTCTGTAATTGTGAATATAGAGTTCTATGAAGTTCAAAAATAGATTTCATAATTATGAACATAAAGTACTATAATTGTGAATATAAAGTTCAATAAATATGAATATGAAGTTTAAAAATTATGAAAATAGAGTTTTTTTAATTATGAACATAGAATTGTGTCCACCTTGCAAGGTGAACACGGTTTCACGGCATAACAATTGGTTATTGCATGGACGGACCATGATCTAAAAACGACGTCTTTTGCATAATTTTATTTTTTCGCGTGCTCAGCTGCAATATACATTTTTATAACTCATAATGCACATTATTTTAAAACATAATGTACATTATATTACCCAGATATTTCATTATTTTATTACGTAATGTACATTATTTTAACACATAATGTATATTATTTTACAACATAATATATATTAATCTAACACATAATGTATATTATTTTTACTCATAATATTCATGATGTTATTTTAGATCGTGATCCACACAATAATTTGCTTAATCAAACAGCAAATTTGCATGTCTCTATACAGTGTAGATCATAAATAAAAAATATATTATTTATGTAAAGTAAATGATTTGTATATTGAATAGACATTATATAAAATAATATAAAAATAATACATTTTTAATACGTAATATATTAAAAGTATATTATTTATATATTGAATATAAAATAATATATTTTACGTATTTAAATAATATAATTTTTCTTAATACAAAATACATTTTTAATATATTAAAAATATATTATTTTTGTATTGAACGTATATTATTTAATACAAAATAGTATATAAAATAATATAATTTTAATACTCAAATAATATATTTTTTATTAATTGTGTTCCAATTGTTTTCTGAATCTCTTCACTGAAACTCCGCCTCCTTCGGGCTCGGTTTTCTTGCTGCTTCGCCGCCGATTCAGGCATCTCTACGGCGGTATATTTATATTTATTTATGTTGACTTCTAATCAGCGCTAAAGCTTGAGTATGGAATCAGCAGTTAAGAAATATCAGCAAAGATTCAGAAAAGTGAAGGATGAGATTGATAGGTGGGAGGAGCTTCATACTAGATTGCTTTCCCAATTTGCTAATGCTTCCTCCATCATCCAGAGATTGCAGGTCTCTTTAATTCTTAATTTTCAATTAAAAAAAAAAGTTAAATTGCTTTAGGTTAATTATTGTATTGTTTTTTAAATTTTTTATTTATTTATTTAGGTGATTCAAGGTTCAAAAAACTATGGTGCCTTGAAATGTATTCAAGGTATTGAAGATGCTGTATTGGCAAAACAGTTGAATTCTCTGCAAAGTATTATGCTTTCTATGAATAAGACTTTGTATGCACCTCAATTTCCTCTACTTTCTTCTTTGTGTCAGTTCTCAAAAAATTTCTTGAAGTTAAACAAAATTCAATCTTATTTGTTTATTCTCTATATTCTACTAACATTTTGTTTGCTTTGTTTTCTGCCTTTTTTAAATATTTGCATTTCCATGTTAAGAGAGGTTGCAGATAGAGGTTTTTCTTCATTTTTTTATGGCATATTGTTATGGCTTTCCTTGGCGTTACAAATTACACCATGGACATCTTAAGCTGATCTTTAAATTGGGAACTGATTTTTCTCTTTGAATGGTCATGGCATCTAGGGAAGGATTTCATTCCATTGTTTTAGCATTTGAGAAGATTGTTCGTGATAGTAGACAGCAAGTAAAAGGCGGGTCAGCTCAACCAAATGTGAAACAGTTGCAGCAACGAATTGGCATCAAACCAAGTCTTGCAGATTGCTTAGATGGGCTTACTATTCTTAGTGAGATGCACCAATCAGAGTAAGCAAGCTTTCTTGGAACCAAGCTTTATACTCCATATATATGTTATTTGTTTGTGTGTTTATGTGCTTCAAAACCCATGTACATATTTGAGTATTTTATTAGCTGCCAAGTTATCTTTTGTACCTGCCCCCTCCTCCCCCCTTCTGATTTTGTTGATTCTGCTGTAGTTGTTCTTTTTCTTAAATTCTTAGTAATATTTTGGTTTTACACGTGAAATCAGGCATAAATTTTGTGCTTTATTCCTTAATAGCAATGCTAGTGTTCATATATTGGGGTAATAGCTGGTCATACTGCATCAGACTATGTACATACATACATATATATGTATGTATGTATGTATATTACCATTTTTATGCTCAAAGTTTGTTTCTAATGGTTCAATTATTAAATATTTTTAGAACTCGTAAAAGTAATATTTTTTATTTTGTTTCAGGTACCGTCTTAAATTGTCTCTGGTATCAGCAACTTCAACACTTGCCTTGAGACCTAGGTTTGCTAATTTTCAGAAAACAAATTGTGTTACATGTTTATCCTTTCAGAGTACCCATATTCTATATTTCTATTTTTAAGATTATGAACTTATTGGTGCTTGACTTACTTGCAGTGTTACTGATGATTTAAGTGTCATCCAGCAGCTTTTGGTAGATCAGCCTAACATCCCTAAAGAGGAAGGTGTGTATAAAATCTCAAGGAAGTTATAACAGAATGAGAAAACTATTTTAGTAGTCCTTTGTCAGATTGTTATAGTATTTTCTAACCATTTGAAATTTCTTGAAGTCGATTTTTTGTGAAATAAACTATTCATTTAACATGTTAGTTTTCATACCAATATCTTAAGCAGCAATTTGTATTGGATAACCTGCCTTACTGGAAACTATAGTATCCCATCATAAGCCATTGAGGTACTAAATTGTAAAGCTAAATATAAAATGCAATTTGATTGAAGGATATATATACACTTTTCAGTTTTCACAATTACTGAATTGCATATGCAGTTAATGGTACTTTTTGTATAGTTGTAATTGCTGGTTGATTATCTGAATCATGCATGGTATGGATGTGTGAAGCCATATAAATCCTTTTAACAAATTTAATGTAGCCTTCGAAAAGTTAATACTTGGCCCTTTCTTTTTGTAGTGCAATTTATATTTGACGTCATTTTCGCTGAAGACATCTGTTGATGCTCACAACTTGAGAGGGTGGTAAAAATCTTGAAACTGGCACCAAGTGAATGACCTTGCAAAAAGTGATCGAGGATTACAATGTGAACACCCTTTGGGAGATCTATGGAGACTCAGTTGTAGATCTAGCAGAGAACTTTAACGTGGCTACCAACAGAAAGCTAAGGGAATGGGAAATATATATGACCATGAGAATTGCAGAACACCTTTCTGGTATATTTAGAGTTCAGCATATACTTACCTATCCTATTCCCCCTATTTTTAGATGTGGTTTTCTGTGATAGGCCACAAATTACATTTGACTGTGATGATCTCAAAAATATTTTATTTGTATAATACAGTATTAACATCTAATTATGAATTGCATATACAATTTGATTATCAAGTTGTGGTGTTGTTTGCACTTTATCCAGACTGCATTGCTTGTGTGCTTGGCTTTAGATTGGTAATTTGTGTGTAGAATGAGACATGTTGGCCACTTGTATCTGTTCATACATACTTTCTCAACTTAAAGCACAAAGAGTCAATGCCCCACATTGGGGTTTGAACCTGAGACCTCTTATTTGTGGGGCCACAGTTATGCTACTCGACCACAAGTCCTTTGACTGATAATATTAAATGTTAAAAGATGACTTTGCATATCAATTGTATTGAGGGCCATCCCAGTGTACTGGATGGTGTACGTGTATATACACTCGACACACACCCCACACACATATATATACAAAAGATAGCATGTAGGTGGCCGGCCGGTTATCGTGGGGTTGTTATTATTAATGGATTAGATTAAGATTTATATGACTTTGTATTCTAGTTACATTAAAATTCTTTTTCCATTTTCATGTGTTATTGTGAATCTATCTTTTATCGTTCTTCATATACATCTTTTCGTGTGGTTTGTAAATTGGATTGATCAATAATAACTACAACAAATAAGTCAATGTAGACAAAACTAAACAACATTGAACATTATTTTTACAAGCCATTTACTTGAGAGCTAAAATATTCGTCATTTCTTACAATATAATGATTTTTAGAACACAATGATAGGTACTCAAACTTAAGGAGGTACTTTGTCTCATATAATTAGTCTGAACCTTTCGATTCTAAATACTATTTCATCTCTTGTAGGGCGGATAACTAATGATCAATGCATTAACATGTATCAATTTGCATAATGCTTTATTGTGTGGTTTTGCAGCTCTTCCCAATTTCCAATTCCAATATGGGACTGATCAAACCCATGGTTCACTCAATACAAATAGTCCACTAGAGTTTGTCCCATACAATGTTATGCTTTTGAAACATCCATCAAATAAGTTAAACTGATATGTGAAATTAAACTTAATGGGCCTTAAAAGATAATTGGTATTTTGGTCATGGGCCACAGTATCCACATCAGTTGAGCTATGAATAGTGGCAAATTATGCTGTGCATCCGTATGCACCATGCATGGTGCATACGGATGCAAAAACGACGTCGTTTTAATAAAACGCGCGTCTCCCTTTAAAAAAAAAATCAGGTTCGATTCCCAGCAACAACATATGAACTAAAATTCCATAATCGATGAACTATAATTCCATAATCGATAAACTATAATTCCATAATCTAATCTATGAACTAAAATTTCCAGAATGAATGAACTAAAATTTCATAATCTATAAACTAAAATTTCATAATCTATGAACTACAATTCCATAATCGATGAACTATAATTCCATAATCAATGAACTATATTTCCATAATTTATGAACTAAAATTCCAGAATGAATGAACAATATAATGTTGTTGCTGGGAATCGAACCTGAATTTTTTTTTAAAAGGGAAACGCACGTTTTTTAATAAAACAACGTCATTTTGGCATCCGTATGCACCATGCATGGTGCATACGGATGCACAGCATAACGATTGATGAATAGTTACTCTATATCATGGCATTAATTTTATTTTCATATTATTTTAAATAATAAATGGAATATTTTTGTCATTTTAAAATAATTTTTTAATTTAATGACTTAAAATGTAGTCACACCAATGCTTTGAAAGTCCGCAGTCATTTCTTAAAGGTACGTTATGGGTAAAATATGCCTTATAATTATAGTTAACAAAAAATTACAATGAAATAAATCAATTTAGATTACTTATAGTAGACTGTTTGAAACTAAAAATTTAATAGGCAGTTCCTACATAAAGTTGAACTTAGAATCTTATAATTATTAAATTAATCGCCCTACCAACTTTGTTGGGATTGTCCCCCATATTAATGCCGATGTTATAGAGTTGAAGTACAATTATATATAATACTTTTTATTTGTGTAATTTTTTGTTCAACAATCTTGATCGAAAGAATGTTAGTAAAAATTAAATTTCCTGACTTTTGGGTACGGTATTCAGTATTTGATGTTGCTATTTTGTATATGTAATGTAATGTGATGTGATATGTGATTATGTATGACGAAAAATTAAAAAATATTATGTGTATTTTCATTTTTACTCGTAACTTTTACTTTAACACACAAAATCTTGATGTAAAAGTTTGTATCGGGACTCACATAAAAAAGTAGATTATCAGCATGCACCTCATCAACAATAAAATTTAAGAAGTAAAATTTGAAAGTCCATGTAATAAAACTCCAAAAAATTATCCCAAGGATACTTAAGTAGTTTCAGATTAATATAAAAAATAGAAATAAAAATGGGAGAAAAGAGATCTTCTCGTTCCAACCGGCAACCCGTTTTTCCCATTCCAAGTATTCCAACCTCTTCTTCTTCGTAATAAAATTACCGAAAACTGCCGTAAACCCGCCGGAGAAGGTACTGGTTTGAGCGTCCGGAGAACATACTGGTTTGTACTCTTCGTTTTAGTGCAAACCGACCGACCTTCCCGGGTGGATAGAAACAGAGTGGTGACACTGCAGCTGCTCTCTGCTTCTATATCTGTATTACGTGTTTGCTACGTGAATGTTCCACTAAATCTAAGACGTAAATTGAGCTGCCTCCGTAGTAGAGAAAAGGAAAATGGCGACGACTAAAGCGGCAGGGACCGCAGTTGTACCCAAGTCGGAAGCCATTTCCAAAGGATACAACTTCGCTTCTACTTGGGAACAGGTATCATTCAATTCTATCCTCCATTTGATGAAATGAGCTTGTTTCCATTCTCAATTTCCCGCCGTTCCTGATCTAATGTGATTTTTACGCGAATGCAATGTTAATTACTGAAATTTGCTTTGATCTATGCCTCTGGCTTTGTCCATTTCGTTGCGATAGGTTTTTCTTATACATTCTGGTTTGTTTTTCGGATCTGGTCCTTCCACTCATCTGATCTGATCTGATCCTCTCTGGTGGAGTAGAAATCTATTTATCTTCATTGTAATGTTGGATAACAAAATGGCGAAGCAATCATATGATAATACAATACATTCTAATTCATCACTCTGTAATTGACCTAACGATTTGTTCTGGCTGCATCTTGAGGTTTATTTGATAGTAGCTTTACTTTTAGCATTATTTTTGTTTGTTTGTAAGCAAGCTAAAAACTGATCTGCCTGTTATAAGTTCAAGCTATTGATGTGGCATATTTGAATGCAATTGCTAATTTTTTTCTTATAGAATGCTCCATTGACAGAGCAGCAGCAAGCAGCTATTCAGTCACTTTCTCATGCCGTTGCAGAGCGACCTTTTCCTGCCAATTTGGTGAGATAACCAGCCTCCTTCACTTGCTTCATTGATCGCCCTTGTATGTTCCAATTTCATTGATCATTGAACTGTATTATTGACTTCAAGTCTCAGGATCATGCTCTTGGACACCACAATGGTTTCTCCAATTCAGCAAAGCAAAATGCTATGGAGGATGGTGGGGCCATTGAGACTGTCTTGGTCAACACCAATCAGGTGAGGGATTAGTTGTGGTGTTCCCCTTTTCCTCAACCAGTATGCATATATTAAACTTTAAAATTTCTCTTCCTAGCCATAAGTACTGTTTGATCTATTGTCTATCTTATACCTTGTTCTGTGTAATTTATATAAAACAGTTCTACAAATGGTTTATGGATCTTGAGGCAGCCATGAAATCAGAGGTTGGCCTTTGCTTGCTTTGTCCAGTTTCTTTTTTAGCATAACACTTGTCACATGCCCACCACTACGTCTGTTTTGTTCTGTGTTCTAGACAGAAGAGAAGTATCAGCATTATGTTAACAACTTGACTGAGCAGATACAAACATGTGATGGAATACTTCATCAGGTAAAGAGATTAAAAGCAGATACAAACAAAAAAATAAAGGAAGATATCTGCTCTCACTCAGTCACTCACATCTTGGTTCTATATCTTTTCTTTTGTCAATTGGTTTCTACCCTGATTATCTAAATGGCTTCCTTTTAGGTGGATGAAACACTTGAATTCTTCAGTTCACTACAACTGCAGCATCAAGCAGTGGCAACAAAGACTAAGACTCTTCATGATGCATGTGATAGACTGGTAAGCAAATCTTTCTCTAGGCCCTAAAAAATACCATATGTTTGTTTTCATTTTAAATATTAGAGAGCCAAAGAAGAGATTTGAGTTGGAATAGAGGAAACCTTGAAACTCAGACGAGATTAAGCTTTACCTATTAGAATTGCTTTTCATGCATTTAGAACACTCAGAAAATCTGAAAACCTGACTTATTAAATTTGAGGAAGTTTCCAATATGGTGTCATAGGTGTAAAATTGTCATGAATGCCACCTTCAGTTTCCAATGGGTGCAGTCCTTAGTCGTTAATATTTATTTCCTTCCTACAAATGAGGCTTAAATATAAAATTGCCAGGATGCAGGAATGTGATTTTCAAGTGGATAATCTTGGTGGATGCAATGCCACCCTTATGATATTGAGTTTTGGGGTTAAAATTCTTATTGGCTTATAATAAACCCAAAAATAGTTCAGACATGTTCTATTTTTCTATGTTTAAGAGGTGGGATTTAAACTAGGATCTCTTGACATTGTTTACTTTGTATCTTTTTTCTTATCTTCTCTTCAATTTGTAATCGTACACCTGTCAAAAACAATGAATATGAAAAGTTCGACATTTATGTCACATGAGGTAAAACAGTAAGATACATTATACAATCTTTTGTTTCTTTTGTAGCTTATAGAGAAGCAGAAACTAATTGAGTTCGCAGAATCACTTCACAGTAAACTCAGCTACTTTGATGAATTGGAGAATGTAAGGTTTCATTTCAATTTACCTCAATATTATTGCATCACTTGATGTTGTTCTACAGCAAAAAGCAGCGTGATTGAGATATTGATAAGTTCAGTTATAGTTTTGTATTAGACGTGGCTAAGGTGAAGTTAATGATGAAATCGATGCTTGTTATCCATGTTGAGGTATATGTTAGAGAAGAACTAAGCCCAACAAGAGAGTATCCAAATTTTACTTGTTTAGAAAATCCAAATTTTGAAATGGGAAGAACTTATGATTTACTAGTCAATAATATGTTAATTTCATATATAGAAATTGAATATCATGATGCCAGAGTTTTTCCTAATTTTAGTCACATGGCTTCCTTGATGTACACTTCTACAGGTTGCTACCAGTTTTTATTCTCCAAGCATGAATGTTGCTAACTCAAATTTTCTTCCATTGCTCAAAAGACTGGATGAGTGCATAACGTAAGTTACTGCAGTTTTATTTTTTATTTTTTTAAGTAAAATATCTGTGTAGTATCAACATTTATGAATATATGGATTACTCCCCGTGGTACTGCTCATACCAGTGGTACTTTGAAATATATTTCCTAAGGCCTGAATAAGTGGCTTTGAAAGCAGCCCTGTATCCCTATCTGTTCTTTTGGATGTTATATTTACCCTTCATATCTCTGTACCAAGGGTTCTGATGGAAAGTGTGATGGCCATTTTCAAAGCAAGAGCCTTATACCAAATTTCCTGAACCTAAACCTCCTTGCTTGGACCTAGTTGATCAGTTCGCTCAAGTATTATTATATTGTAGTATGTGTGGATATATAATTATTATTTGCTTTTCACTCTGCTTGATTGCAGGTATGTCGAGAGTAATCCACAATATGCTGAATGCAATGTTTACTTGGTCAAGTTTCGACAACTTCAGGTACTCGTGAGAATGTTTTTTTAAACTATAAAACAGACTTGGATACATCTAAATTTTATTCCCCTTATTCTTCTTTTTGCAACAGTCTCGAGCTCTTGGTATGATTCGATCACATGTTCTTTCAGTTCTTAAAAGCACCTCTTCGCAGGTACAGCTCATTTGAGTTTTCTGTTTATACATATTGTATTCTTTTTATTTCAGTGGATCTGTAATGGTTGTCTAATTAATTGCAATAGGTGCAAGCCTCAATTCGAAGCAGTGGTGGTAGCAATGCAGTTGTTTCTGAAGGAGTAGAGGCATCTGTAACTTATGTCCGCTTCAAAGCAGCAGCAAATGAGGTATTTTCCTCTATGAGCAGAAGAGCTAAAATTGGATTGACATTTCTCAAATGATGAGAAAAATGGTCTTGTTTTCTGCAGCTTAAGCCAGTGTTGGAGGAAATTGAAAGTAGAACACCCAGAAAAGAGTATGTTCAAATTCTTGAAGAATGCCACAAACTTTATTGTGAGCAGCGGCTCTCCTTGGTAAGCAGATAGTTGCCTTTTCATATGCTGACTGTATTTTTTGTTTGACAAGTTCTGCTGTAATTTTTCATTTTTTCTCCTTTTAACAAGTAGCCGTTTGTATTCTGTTCCTCAGATAAGAAGCATAGTTCAGCAGCGTATCTCTGAATTCTCCAAGAAAGAGGCATTACCATCACTAACTAGATCTGGTTGTGCATATCTAATGCAGGTATTTTCACTTGCCAAAATAAATAAAATAAATGATTTAGTTAACACTGCAAGTCTGAGTTTGTAATCAGATATTCTGATCCTGGACTACAGCAGATTTTCTAGGAATATTACAGAGCTTGTCTATATTTTCATTTATTTCTTTTTGACAAATCAATTCTTTTTTTGAAAGGAGACAAATCAATTCTAAATGTTGCTTTAATGCACATACTTCAAAATTTCAATTACCTAAATAAATAAACATGCTGGTAGCGTCACATAATTTAGCTAATATTGCAAGTATGAGTTTGTAATTAGACTGGGTTGCAGCAGACTTCTAGAATCTATCAGAGCTTTTATATATTTAATGTACTTATTTCTGTCAAATTGATTCATGATTCTAAATGTTGCTTTAAGGAACCTTCTTGGGGATAGGAGTCATAGGACAATAGTGGGTAAAAGTCAACTATTATTCTTCAAAAGTATTTGAAGCTTTTAAATGCAGGTCTGTCAGCTTGAGCACCAACTGTTCAAACACTTTTTCCCATCATCATCAGAGGATATTTCAAGTTTGGCTCCTCTAACAGATCCTCTGTGAGTTATATTAATTTTCTTGGAGTTTCTTCTGCACCTACGTCTTCTTTGCCTTTGGTATGGGATAGGAGAAAACAAAAAAAGTGTGAGCAAAAGGATAACCTTACAATGTTTCCAAGGGTTTGTTGGAGTTTAAACTAGAAGAAAGTAATGAAATATCTTAATAGACCAAAAAATTGTGAAAACTCTGTAACTTAATGACAAATGTTAGCAATATAGCAAACTGGGATATCTTCTGCTCTTTGTCCATTGATGCTTTCCTGAACTTATTAACACCTAGCAAACTAGGTTCCTGAACTTATTAACACCTAGCAAACTAGGTTCCTAAACTTATTAACTCCTAGCAAACTAGGTTCCTGAACTTGCTTTCCTCCTAGTGTGTTGTTGACCTGCATCATGGTGTTTCTATTTCCCATTCATCCTACATTTTTTGTTCTTCAGGCACCGGTGCCATTTATTAGGATGATTCAAATTAATTGATTTATACCTATTAAATATGTTAATAATGAAAATGACTCAAATGAACATTTTTATTTTTTTTGTTTTTAACTTTTAACAACTTGAAATCATATTTGCTTTGATAGGTTAGATTAAGTGCATCTTTTGATGGCTTCTTCAAAAACAGGCTTTTTTGAAATCCTTCACTTTGCAGCTTATTGAAAAAGGTCTTTTCCTCTTATCTGGCTTGAAAAAAATCTTTATATTTTTACTGTTTAGCCCAACTTCTACTTTTCAGAGCAGATGAGCTCTAATATAGCTGGGATAATCAAGCACCTAATCTAGTATTCATACCTGTTTAGGCTTTCAAAACTATGAGGGTCACGGAGACCTTTTAATCATTATGACTTAAAAAGTTACCTTACCACTAATATATATTTTCAGTTAATATTTTTAAAATTTTGTACATTAAATCTCTTCATACTCTGCATTAAATAGCATTGTCTTGTTCACTTGGTGGCTTGGTGCTAGATACTACAAGAGTATATCCTTTGGTTAGTCTATTGCCAACTTTTCATTTATATTGTCATGACCTATCTCCTCTTATCTTCACTTGTTTACACTTTCCTGTTCAATTGCGTGCAACATCTTGCAGGTGTACATACTTGTATGATACATTACGACCAAAACTTATCCATGAAAAAAATCTTGATGTTCTTTGTGAGTTGGTTGATATCCTTAAAGTCGAAGTTCTAGAAGAACAAGTAAGCAGGCGGGGTGAGTCATTAGCTGGGCTACGTCCAACATTAGACAGAGTTTTAGCAGATGTTCATGAACGATTGACTTTTCGTGCCCGTACATATATTCGCGACGAGGTAGATATCTCAGTTACATTCACATTGTATCTTCAGCCATTTGGTGCAATTTCTTCTGTGCATCATTTTTCATTTCTTATAAATCCACAATGTTTTAATATTGCAATTCTCCTATTGGCATTTTAATGTATCCTTCTGCATGAAAATTTGCTCACCATGCACTATCAACTTGAGCAGAGAAGAGACCTTCTCTAGCTAATACTTCAAATCAGCTTATGCTTGCAATCCCCTTAGATTTTTAATTCTTTGACAGATTGCAAATTATTTTCTTGTGGATGAGGATTTGGATTACCCTAGAAAGTTGGAGCCATCAGCTGAAACAAACTCAGAAGCAGAAGCAGCTGTAAGTGCTATGCTCTTATCATATTTTCTCACATATGGAGTTTGTAGTTGGATTCTTGGACTCTTGCTTGTTTTGCTTCTACACCAAATATTTTGCTAGTGGATGAGGACAGTCATCTCAAATGCCATCTTCTAAAGTTCTTTATTTTTTCTTAAAAAAAAAAAACTAAACATAACATAGAGCATCCAAGAGTTTTCTGCCACATGGATCTTTTCTCTATCCTGTGTCCCCATCCTACCCTGTGATGCAGCTTTTTTAATGCCCTAATTTAATTGTCTATTGATGATGAACCAAGGGGAGTACTTCCCTTGTCCAGTGCAGTCATTACTCAAGCATCCTTACTCTTCTACCATACTGGTTTGAGCTTCTCCATAATATCTGTCAATGTGATAACACTGTTAGGAGATTTTTGTTCCACCTAGGGATGGCAATTCAACCTGCCCCCGACGGGGAAAACCGATCCCCGCCCCGACGGGGGCGGGTTCGGGGAATTTTTTAGGGGAACGGGGGCGGGGATGGGGAGAATTTCCCCATCCCCGCCGGGGACGGGGACGGCATCCCCCGCCCAAAAAAGGTTCTAAAAAATTAGTCTCAAAGTTACTTGATGCATCTGAATCCTTTCAAATGATCATTGATCTCTCTTCAGTCACACCAACCAAAGTGAAAAAAGATTGGAATAGGGGGCAGCTGCTTAGTCCTTACTAAGGTTCCTATATAGATGGATGATGGACAACAAAGTGATAATCCTGATACATATCCTCCAAATGCATATAAAATCTAGTAAATTTTAAAATGTACCCAGGCAAGACCCATAACCCGCTTATCTAGTCCCATGAGTAAATATAGTCTAATAATTTTTTATCTGAAAAATTCAGTTGCTGGCTGATCAAAATGCAATCAAAATGTGGTACCCTCCCCTGGAGAAAACTGTATCTTGCCTGTCAAAGCTGTATAATTCTCTAGAGCCAGCCGTTTTCACTGGTTTGGCACAGGTAAGTAGGTAGTTCTCTTGCTAAACTTTCCCCTATCTTGAGAGAATTTCTCTTAATTGTCATTTCAATTTATTTTCTTCATCAGGAAGCAGTAGAAGTGTGCTCTCTATCCATTCAAGTAAGCCATACTTTTCATTTATGATTTAACTAAACTTTGGAGTCTGAAATTCGTTAGGACCCGTGTATTCCGAGTCACAGACACAGAACAATAAGATTAGGATATTTTATTGGTACTTCTTTTGTGATAATTGGTCCTCCTGTAATATGCAACACTTCATTCTAGTTTGCATTTTGTTTGCCATTACTAATTCCTTTTGTTGCTTCAGAAAGCTAGCAAACTTGTTATAAAGAGATCATCTCTGATGGATGGGCAACTGTTCCTAATAAAGCATCTTCTTATCCTAAGGGAGCAGGTGTTATTCTAGCTTTTAATCATGAAATTCCTTACAGAACTTCAGCTTTTTTGACATAAATTTCTTTCCAGATTGCACCATTTGATATTGAATTCTCGGTCACGCACAAGGAGCTTGATTTTTCACATTTATTGGTTAGTAACAAAGTCTTTTTTTTTTTTTTGTTTTTTTTTTTTTGTCAGAATTTATTTTCTGATTTTTGCTGCCATATTCTGGCTGGTGCACTGCTTTTTTCTGGGCCTTGAGAGTAAATGCTGTTTCTTAAAGTCTATTATTTTCTAAGAACCAAAAGTGTGATGTCCTTTTAAGTTTTAATGCCATCTTCCTGTGCACATTGAACCAAAAGTGTGATGTCCTTTTAAGTTTTAATGCCATCTTCCTGTGCACATTGAACCAAAAGTGTGATGTCCTTTTAAGTTTTAATGCCATCTTCCTGTGCACATTTCATTTCTTCTGCAGTAAAGAGAATTGGACAACTTGGTTTTTCCATGATTTCTAACCCAAGTCTATCTAGAACTGGAGATGCTGATTTTTTTTCACTGAATTCAACTAATGCCTGTTTTTTCTCCTGCCCCCAAAAATAACTTGTTCTTTTATGTCTTGTATAAATGTTTGTGGCAAAACATGTCTTTTACTTCTTTTGGGACTGGGCAACAATAGTGCCAAAAACACAATTTAAATATTTGATATGATATTATAGTTAAAAGAACTCTAGTAAGGAGTAGATAGTGTGTGATAATCTCCATACTTGTAATTCTGAAAAACAGAGGATAATAAATCTAAGAATCTGAAATTTCAGTAGTTATGATGCTGTTAAACATTTCCCTGTTGTGAAAGGACTCATGAGTCTGTTAAATATGTGAGACAGAATGCTCTACATTTGCATTTTCTGTTGGCTTCATTTCCAACTGTAAAGAAATTGTTTAGTCTTGCTCACTGGCTGGCAATTATTCCATTTATCCAGGAACAACTCAGGCGGATTCTTAGGGGACAGGCATCAATTTTTGATTGGTCAAGATCAACTTCATTGGCAAGGACGTTGTCTCCACGAGTTTTGGAAAGCCAAGTTGATGCCAAGAAGGTATGTTTCACCCACACCCTCCTTCCCCCTTACCCCTCTCCTTGCCTCTCTTCTTATGAGATAAAGTATTTTCCACTCAGACGTTCAGAATAATAGTTTATTTCTGGTGTCAATTGTCACATATTAGAGAAATCGAAAAGAAGTTTGTGCCTTTGTGGTGTCAACTTCCTCAATGGTTCAGTGAAGGCTTACTTGAGCTGTTATTGCTAAATTGAAAATAAGTAGGTTTAGTGTGCTGAACTAAAGTTGCTTAATAAAACTTATATTCATAAAATGCCTTGACTTGTAGTGAACAGTTTTATCTTATATGTAATGCTGATCCAATTCATATAAGTTTAACTTTTTTGTGTACTTTCATCATTTTGGTTTATTTCAACACATTGAAGTACTCTTGCACGAGTTTATGTGCACTCAAAACATGAAACTTGGTTGTTACTATTGTATTCATGAATACCATCTCTTGAGCATTTTATCTTGTGGTTGAATCCATCTAATTGCAGGAACTGGAGAAAAGCCTAAAATCTACTTGTGAGGAGTTCATTATGTCAGTCACTAAGCAAATTGTGGAGCCCTTGCTTTCTTTTGTTACCAAGGTTAGTTCTACCTTGTTTCTTGGTTATTTGGAAGTGAAAGGAAACATGCCAAGAGTAGAGAATGACTTATCATACATAAATATAGGATTGACTTGAGAAATTAAATGTCTGAAAACTACTTATCTCTGCACCAATATTCTGTGTTACTAATTGAGTATACTTAATGGTATAAAAATGTGCTTACACCTTGGAAGACCATCTTTTAGTTTAGAATAAAAATTAGGTGAATTTCCTTAACTTTTGTCATGAAAGTTGTAGAGGTCTCTTTTGGGCCGTGTTTATTGAATAGGTTTGGGGTGATACAACCAGCAGTTAACTGTAAATAGCAAGACAACAAGGATTAGATAAGGGACCCCCTTCACAAATTAATTAAGATCCTTAATGGAAATGATGAAATCTATATTTCATTGACAAAGAAAAGGTCTTTAACTAGGTATATCAAAATTGTCTGTGAAGGTTACTGCTGTTAAAGTTGCACTATCTGGTAGTCAAAATCAAAAGACTGAATCTGCAATTGCAAAGCCCCTCAAGGATCAAGCTTTTGCTTCTATGGAAAAGATTGCTGAAATTCTTCAAAAGGTACGTATGGTTATTTGCCTGTTTTATTTATTTAATTTTTATATATGATGCCCCCATCCTGCAAAAAGAAAAAGACAACCTTAATATACAACAAAAGGAAGGCAACACCATGGCTTCATGGAGATTGTGTGTAAATCAGTATTCTCTCTCTTAGACACAAGATGATTATTGCCTTATATCTTCTCCCTTTGTTTTACAATATGATGTCTTTTAAACCAGGTTAATGCAGCGATTGATCAAGATTTGCCTAGGGTTTTGGAAAAGATGAGGCTTTATCTACAGAACCCATCTACACGTGCAATACTTTTCAAACCAATAAAGTAAGATGAATAAAATTGGTTAACTCCGATTCTTTTGCTTGGATACTTTAGTCATTCATATTTCGATTGCCTTGCAGGACTAATATCATTGAAGCATATTCTCAAGTATTATCACTTCTGAAAAAAGAGTATTCACCAGAGGACACACAAAATATTTTGAATATGATCTCATTAGAGGATCTGGAAGTAAAACTTGACAGCCTCCTGTAATGTAATGATACCATACTGTCCACACATAGAGGCACCAGTTTCGGCACAGATTCAGCATGGAAGGACCCTTTCACGAGTAAAAACTATATATAAACCTATATGTTTTGCCCCTTGCAGTATTTTTCATCATCACAAAGAACCACCAGCTCTGTATGATAGAGAATTAGAGGTCCGATTATTCAATTTATTACCCCAGCGAGGAAACAGTGAGGCATTTGTTTTCCCAGAGTTTTACAAGTTTTTTGATATGTATTATTGATGTTATAGAGTAGCTAGGATAAGTTCATATTCAAGTATCAAAGTAGAATTGTGTAGCAGACTGCCAATGGATCTCAATGCTTGTGGTTTTGAATGTCTTATAAATGTAGTAGAGGGTAATAAACTATCTGCTAGTTCTTAGTCTCGTGCATTCATTTGATTGACACAGAATTCTCAAAAGCTATATAAAATGAATTTAAATGCGAAAATTTTCAGTTTTGGTTATTCTCTGCATGAGTGCCATTTCAGGTAGGTATTTTCAGAAAGGATTCATGTTGCATTTAGAGGGACGAAATGAAATTGTTATGGATAAGGAATGAATTTAACAAGGTGAAATATTGGCAATTAACAATTAACATAAGACAAAATGAATAGAGGATTCTTATGGCAAAAAAAGAAAAAAAGTAGAGCCTATGAGCTGGCCTTAACCCTACGCTAAATGAAGAGATTCAAACCCTGCTCACCTCAACCTATGTTTGCATCAACTAAGACTGGATATATATATATATATATATATATATATATACTAAATACAGAGAAAGAACACAAATTTCGTGGGCACGAAAACAGCCTCAGTGTGCACAAATTATGAAGCTGAAGGCATAAAAAAGCAGACGGAACTAAATATATTCTAAGAAACCTACCTCTTGCGAGCTTGAAATGAATGTTCCAAGCTTCACGCTAATCATTCTAAGGACTCCCCAGTTTGAGAGGAGTTTGCCTCGCTTAAGTTGGACTGAGATGGAACGGAAACCATTGCTGATGAAGACCACAGATCTGGTACCGTTAGGAAATAAGCAGTCATTGCTTTCCTGAATCTCTTCTTATATTGCTCTGGAGAAATCACTGTTGGAGAAGCGTTCATAGGTCCGCCCAGGATTCCAGAAGCTTTCACCCAAGTCTCGAGATGCTTGTCCCATGTATATTGTCTCATAAAATCAATAATACCGACCACCAATTCATGCTTTTCCTCATCCACACCAGCTAATAGTGAATAGTCCATTACAGCTATTGACTGCGGTGCCATGAATAAGACAACAAATCAGAACTAGCATGTAAAAAGGGTGCACAAAACACCAGTCTATCAACAAATGAACTGCAACGAGAATCTAGTGATGAGGAATGAGAGAACCCCGCGGGGGGGACCATAAAATCTGATGCACATATATTCTTGGCAAACCAACAGGGAGAACAGAGGTGATAACATTTATACTAGAGAGAATGATTATTAACAAAGACAGGAATCAGAACTTACAGCAAGAAATGCAGTATCATTCCAAACAGCTCTCTCCAATAGCCTCTTTGCTTTGGGTGCTAAGAATATTGGGGAAGTTGGCATTGATTCAATCAAGTTCTGATCAAGCAGAACTTTATTGCTTCCACTTGAATCTGGATTATATCGGGATCGACAAGATCCTTTGAGGTCATAAAGTCTTGTGATGTTTCGCCTAAATAGAAGATTCTCCATTACCAAAACATCCATTTTTGATTCTTTCCCCCCTTTAAGATGCTTTGATGTAACCTGAGAAAATAAACAAACAAAAGATGAGAGATCAAAACAAATCAATCAATAAAAAGAAGTTGAAAAACATTTTTTATTTGGAAGAGAAATCAGTTTGCAGAGACCTTTAGAAAACAAAAAGGTGACAAGTCGAAAGATTTGAATAAAATTGAAAATGTAACAAGAAAATTAAACTGCGAAGACAACAAAAAGTAGAGCAGGTACTTTATAATTGAAATAAAAATAACCATTCATAACGGGCTAATACCTGATATATGCCCAAGATCTTTGCCAGGCAAGTTGGGCTCTTAATTGCAATTGCATCAGATAAATATTGAAAATAAGCAGGAGCAAATTTGATAAATGACTCTAACTCTGTCTTTGTAACCTGTTTAATGATAAATCGATCGTCCAAGGTTTTTGCAAAGAAGACCTTACTTTTCCCACCCTGAGCACCCCATTTTTTACATCGGCTGAGAGAACGAACAAAATCCAATTCGGAGGAACAACATGCCTTTCTTAGGGCCTCAAATTGCTTGGCATAATAACAAGTGACTGCATACTTCACTTTTCCCCGAGGACCATCAACCGAGAAAGTAATGCGGGCTTGCAAAGCATTAGTGTACAAATGTTGGTCTAAACTTGAGGAGCTTTGAGAGCTAAAACTGGATAGGTTGCTTTCATCGGTAGAGCCAATACCTCTTAGAGATTCTGAAATTACCTCATCAAATGAGTTAAGAGAAAGTAAACTGAACGAATCTATAAAGGGCAGGGAAACCGGGGATTCTACTTTGTTAGTTCTCTCAGATGCCTCCAACATTTGAATATGGTAATCTGTTGATACAAGAGCATATGATATAACACTAGTTGGCTCGTCATCATAAACAGGCACAACAGTGTCATTAACACCCACAGGCAAAAGCAGCCTAGCACCGCCTTGATGTAGCAGCTCCCGAAATGAGAGGATATAGACAGGATTGTACTCGCTCAAGTTACCCTGCTTTTGTGAGTTTCTAAAATTCTTATGGAATGACTGGTAGAAACTTAGAAAAGGTGACATCAACCAGGTCTGATAGTCCACGTCATCAGACTGTAAAACACTTGATGCTGCTGGGGTTTTAATGGAACTAGAGGAATCCATGGGAGGTGTAGAACTATCCTTAGAAGCAGACTGCCCTTCACCAGTCCATGCAGCATCAAGAGTATCAGACAGATTTTCCATAACAGGGAACTGCTCCTCTGAGTGAACTTGTTTCATATTTTTCCCAGGCTCCTGATTGCTTTGATCACTGATGTTTGTGCTAGAAGAACGGCAAACATCAAGTTCCTTCCTATGACTTTGGTTCTGATCCATATGATGCATTGTTTTGTGGCCATCAAGAGGCTGCCCACATCCACCTATATCAGACTTTGTATTCTGTAAAAAGGAACCTGAACTATTAAATCCTTTTCCAGGGCAGGAAATTTCATTCCTCCCGGCAGGACTATCAGTAGAGTTGAAGGGCTTCTCCTTCACTTTTGGAGCTGAATCACTTAAAGATTGGAAGTCTTTATGATCAGGACTAGTAATATGTACCAAACGTTGGTCCCAGAGGTAAGCAAGAAGCACTAATTCCCTTTTTAGACGATTAACTTCAAGAACATCAACTGAAGGCTCATCAGCTTTAACTTCTCCAGTGAGCACTTTTCCTAACAATTCCTTAAAGCAAATGAATCATCAGTCATAGAGCCAGTATTATTTTCTTTGCAAAATGCATTTACCCTTGCAGCAGTAATTAGCATCATATGTTCAAAAATAACTATCCATTCTTATATTTAGAATCTAAAAGAGATATAATATAGATGTCTATTGCCAGTTCTAAATTCCAAAACTGTTAGTACTTAGTAGCACAGTACTTTCTGCAGCATGTCCACAGTGTCAAATCAATTGCTCAAAGGACAAAATTCTAGACTGGAACTAAAATTAAGCCCCATCTCATCCTATAATTTTGAGACCTTTACACTTTCCGCCATCAATTATGCATTAGAAAGGCAAAGGTCCTAATAGCACCAATTATCCAAATGTTTTCTAAAATTTGTAATTCTTTCCAATGTTTTTAATTTTGTCAATTAAATCTAAACCTATCAAATTAGAAACAATTTTGTCTGGGCTCTATGTTACAAAATGGAATTACATTGCAACCATATTTATAAACGTGTTCTCTTTTTGGATATACTACAATATAAATGCAACAGAAGTACACAATAGTATGTTATGGCAAGACAGAGTGGTGGGTGGTGAAGTGGTGAAGTGAATGAAAAGTTTTTTTCACTTTAGTTGTTTGTGTAAGAATATATTCTCTTTACCACTCTCTATCTCTACCTCGCTGCAGGAGATGAGGATACTATTAATAAAGCATCTGTCATTTCCTCCTTTATTATTTTCCCCTTTTTTGTAATAATTTTTTTAAAAAATGGTATACGTAATGTCCTTCAAGAGGTAACCACTGCTATTCAAAACCATAACAAAGGTCAGAAGGATCAAATTTCCTGCTACATTGTTGTTCCCAGGAAATGCAGACAATAAACCGCAGTCTGTAAAAAATGAAAAAGGAGCGAGCAGTCTTTTTTGTAGAGAATACCTCAAATTCCTTTTTCTCCTTCTCTAATATTCTCTCTAGTTTAGCAATTCGGTGACCTGAATCTTGTGCTTTGGCTCCATCTTTCACAGAGATTTGCTCTGAAATTTTGTGAAGAGCTTTGAACACCTCAACAAACAGACTTTCTGCCCAACTGCAAACCTATTCTCAGAAAATATTAAGCAGCAGGTGAAACACAAAATACTTAGTATGATATATGAAGGGAAAAAATTGCATTTCATGTACCTCATTCACTTCTTTGTGTATCCACTCTTGATTGTCATGGTTAAATTCAAGTTTTTGGGGAGGGAGAAAGACAGAGTGAACATTAATTGGAGCGTATCGAAAACAAGCAACCATTTCTCCAAAACTGCATGGAAATATACCACAGTTTAAAGAATTTACCATATGTTAATTTATTTGCTGCATGATCATCTAGATGGCATTTAAACTTTAATGTACAAGTCATTAAAGTATTATGTGCTAGCCAGACTAACAAGAGCATAGAAATTGGAAAACAATGTCAAATTAATGTAAGAACTAAGAAGATTGTATACCCATAGAACCGGAGGCAGTCTTTATGCAGGGAATGACCACAGCCAGCAACCCTGCTTGCAGCAGCATGGTTTGAGAAACTTAATTCCAAAAATTTACCAAAAGACAAACCCCGAGCTGCATCAGACATTACTACTCTCCGGGTTGCAGGAGGGAAACCATTTATACGAGGGCATTGCATGCACCTGTGCCACATCCAGATTTTTCCTTCGCGTTCTCCAGGCAAAACTACATTTGGAAGCTTCTTCACAGAAATTGTTAGGCTGCCTTGCTGATGAGTGTAGCAATGAACATGTGCTTCTGATGGCATCTCACAGGAGTGACATCGATAATTCTAATAAATACAATGTGTGATTCAGAAAGAGGTTAATAAGAAACAAGCATATAAATATATAAACAAATATACACACATACACTCATATGCAAACATATCCACAGGCCTATAAAAATATAATAACCTTCATCCCAAATACAGCTGAAATGGAATTCCAAAAGTAGGTGGGCCTAAGGTAAAATACAAGTGATCAGATTTGGATTGGAAGGCATAGAATTAGGGTCTGCACAATTTTTCATGCAGTAAAACATTGAAAACAAAACAATGAGTATAAGAAGCAGGTTCTTATTTCAGAAAAATAAACATCTAGGGATGGACTAGAAGGGAATTGCAGGACACTATAGTCCAGACAAAGGGAGTACATATATAGAGCAATAGTTTTTGGAAAAGGAAAACTTTTATGTATTTATTTATTTAGAAAGCCAAATCTCATAATGCATATGAATAAGCAATGAGTACCTGATCAAACAGATGGTCCCGTAAAAAACGACCCAATGGCAAATCAAAGTTTCCATAATATTTTATCCGGAAAAGACGAGACCGTTCACAAACACTTCGTTTCCAAACACAACGTGTTGACAGGGATACCAAAATACTCTGAGGATCAGAAGGTAAGTGGGTAAACTCTTCTTTTAAAGGCTCTAGCTCCTCAATGTGATTATTATCAGTTTCTGGAGGCACCAACTCAGAAGTGCACATGTTAGCATGCTGTAAAGTGCCAACAAAGTGAGGAAAACTGCCTAGTTTCCCCAATGACTCTAAATTGCTAGGACAATTAGAAGTTAAATCTTCATGCCCAACTACTTCAGTGTTATGGACTGAAAACGTTTCAGGAACATTTTTATTAACATCCTCGTTCTTCCCCTCATACCCTTGATCATGAAAATCAAATCTTGGATAGCCCAAGGAAGTGGTAGAATCAGTAAGTTCCAGATTATCTAATCTACTTCCAGCATTTAATTTTGGGCAAGAACCTTTGGATAAGTAAGACTCCTGATCACAGTCGGATGCAATATTAGATGATGATGAAGCAATTGACTGAGAGGACACGCTAGCAGTATGGGAACCTTGTGGACTTTTGTTGACAGGTAGAGTGAAACCAGGAACCGAAATAATAGATGTATTATTACTTGGTGGCTTATCAGGCAATGCAACTTTTATTGGAGACTTCAAAGGGAGATCTGGCAGAGAGGCACCTTCATCAGCAAGAAAAGATGTCTCCAGAGCCAAGTGATAAGCTGCAAAAACTCCATATTGAACTACATGTTTAACCTTCTTCAGTTCATCAACATTAGCACCCTTGAGCAGAATCTGGCACAAAGAAACAGCATTTTCACCATACTTTGTTTTATAATATTGTTATCATAAATACTTTCTGAGGTTTGTATAATGCAAAGAAGTTAATAAAATTGCCAAAATATATGTTTGTGTATGTAAGGTATTAGGTTGCACATATGCAACATGTGGGGTCAATTACAAATTTTGTAGGATAGGTTTTTATTATCTTCTTACTATTGCACTTAGATTTAGACAATTGGCAACATTAAAAAAGACAAACTTCATACCATACACCATTATGACATATTGACATCTAGAGAAGACTTGTTCACTTGTCAAAAGCATCATATATGTGATTTTAAAATTTCTTTATGTAAAGAATGTGGTGCGAGACTTACAGTACAACCCAATGGCTTAGGACAGCCCTCAAAAAACATCAATGTCTTCATCAATTTTCTTCCATCATGCCCAGCCTTGCCATGCTCTTCCACAAACTTCTCAACACGAAATGAATCACAATACCCTAACTTTTGAGTAGCAAGATTATCAACTGAAGGGACAATATTCGCACCAGTACAACGGGCTATGCGCTGTAAAAGTGGTCGTTTGACATTGAGAACAAGGGATATATCCTTTGCAAGAAGGTATTCTTGTGCATATCGGGATACTGTTTTCTCTACTAACAAAATATTTGGATGATGAGCATCAATCTTTGCTACAGCCATCATCAGATGGTCCTTTTCCTGGAAAGATAATAATAAATCAAGAAAACAAAATTGACACTTCAACTAGAAGCCAAAGGCAGGTAACCAAAGAAATGTTCCCCTCAATTACTCATGGACCTTTCTAGTACAATAGGAATATGTAGAAAGGATAGGATTGAATCAATACCTGCTGCAGTAGAGTATCAAAACTTGACAAGTGGCTAGTCACCCTCTGATATTCCAATGCCCCTCCAAGGATTAGGAGTCGAGGTTTATCTATTTTGGATGTCATCCGCCGATGAGCCACATTTTTCTTGCAAACAACCCCTTTAACAACCACACTGACCTCAAACAAAAAATATATATATATATATTAAACATAAATATAAAACCTCATCTGAGAGAAAACAATATCTACACAGCAAAATATGCATAGATGTCTAGGGGTGTGTATAAGTTTTGTTGTCATTTCAGAAGACTGCATATTTAATTTAAGGAAGGGATTAAGCAAAGGAATTTTTAGAAGTCACACATGGCACAACAAACATTGACTAGAAGGCATTAAGACTGCAAAATACACATACACGTCTGCGTGTGTGTATAAGTTTGTTTTGTTTCAGGACTATACATATTTAACTTAAGGAAGAGATTAAGCAAAGGAATTTTAGAAGTCACACATGGCATGACAATTGTTGACTTTGAGGCACTAAGAAAGAATGAACCAGATTTTAGTACTTCAAAACAAATGGGGGAAAGAAAACATATAAAATTGCAGATGAATTGCTAGGTATGCTATGTAAGTATTATAATACAAAGTTTAACTGTGTATTTAACCTCTCAGTGAAATGCCCACATGGTATGCATTTAACCTTCACATATGCACCAGGATCCATTCCCTCACTCTGACTCATATCAGGCTTTAGGAATGTTCCAGCTTCCCACGATAAAGCAGTGATTATCTCCAACCAACTCTCTTTATCATCCTCATCTCCTATAGACAAATTCTCAGCCTTCAACAGTTGTCGTATTAAAGCTTTAAAATGCCCATCAACTACGTTTTTGATGATCCTCTTGTGCTCAGTAGATTTCTCCCTATTGCGGTACTCCCCATCAGCAAAGCTGCATGAAGGGGACAAGTAACCCCACTCACCAGTAGAACCCCCCTCACCACCATTGTCATCATCATCATCTAGAAGAGCTTCTCTCTCATCCTGTTGATCTTCAGGCTCTGGAGGTAGCCAGAGTAGACCATTGTTCTCAAAGTCCACAGGTTCACTTTCTGTACTATTCACAGAATCAATAGAGGGATCTTCATACTCCATACTGTTATTATTTGCATCCACTATTTCCTCAACTTTTTCTGTACTTCCCAAGTGCTTTTGTTCAATGCTCTCAGGTAACATTTCAGAACTTAAACAGTTCATTCCAACATTTTCTTGAGAGCGGCGACAAACAAGGGTTTCCTCATTACAGCTAACATCATCATAATAGACATCAGCAGTACAGAACTGGCTTGGGTTAGAGTGCACCCTATATGCACTGTAATCATAATCCTCATCATTATTCCTGTATCAAAGCCCACATAAGAGCAGTAATCAATACATACTGGATAATTAAAATCCTAGTACCACAGAGACCATGCATTCATGTCAACAATCAGTAAAGGAGCAATATCCAGTGAGATGTCACATATAAAATTAGAATGTCTATGTGATCAATTGAATCTTCTTATTGTAAAGATAGAAAATTGAGAAAAATAATGAACATATTAATGACAACATTGTGAATAGCTAATCACATGGGTTGAGCTAAGGCTCTTTATCTATAGGAGAAATTACAACTGCACTTATACTAATTACTAAATGGCCAATGTTAGGTGAACTAATATTTTATCACTCCCCCTCAAGTTGGAGGATATAATGCTCAACTTGTTACAAACATATCATCAAACTTGCCCCACTCAATTACAGTAATAATTCAAAACAATAGAGTATGCATCTTCAGTACACTCAGCCTTCATTAAGCACAAAAAGTAACGTCAACATCACATTAATATCCTTCAAATTTCTTCTCTCTTGCATTGGTGATGTGAGGCAAGGTCTTTGTCCTCTTCTGTTGTACTATGGAGTACTTTTGTGCAACAAAAACTTTTTTCACCCAAATAAAAGGACAGAAAAAGAATGCAACCTTGAGAAAGATGACGCAATAAGACAATAAAAGAAACCATTTGTTGAACAAATTAATCAAAAGAGATGGGAAAACTTCAATGTGTGAAAAATTAATAAAACAATAAGAATCAGATCGCGCAACGGCAACAGCAAATGGACTAGCAGAATCCATGGAACCAACCCCAACCTAGATCTTTATTTAGTTATTATAATGATATACATATTCAAACTACCAGAATGAAGCTGGCTGTGAACTACCTTGGCTTTTAAATCAGATCAGGCAAAAGCATGAGGGCATGTGTATGGCATACAACTCAAATTGTATTAGCTAACTAGCAAGAACCTGATAACGATCTACTAACACAAAAAGATGCTCAAGATATGTAAATTTGCGAACTATATCATAGCAGAATATCCCATTTGTACACTAAACGGATAAATACCTGTTGGAAGAGCCATATTTTTCAGAATATGGATTTTCTGAAGACAATAGTTGGTCTTGCTTCACCGTGACTTGACTGGTCTGAGCCAATGGTGAGGAGCTCTGACATGAGCCATAAGGCACATGAAGGTATGATCCTGTTGAGTAAACAGTTGAATCAACACTGCTGCCACTATTACAAGTGCAGCTAGACTGTGAACTAACCAAACTTGTGGTCGAGGGAGATGGACTGATGCCTGGGCTTGTCATACTTGTTGCATTGTCAACCATAGCTATACCCTGCTTCTGTTGCTTGAAGCAATAGTTGCAGACCCTAATCCTCTCCCCGTCTTCCGGGCCTATATTGGTCACCTCAGACGGGACAGGAATAGAACTTGAAGCACACTTGGCACAGAAAACCCGTCCACACAGACGGCAATGATGCCTACGGTTAAAAACAGTAAATGGGGAATCACACTCATAGCATACTCTGCAGCTTTTATCAGGCATCCAGAAGTCTCTGGGCATATTTGCAGACTGTCCCCTATTTGGTATCCATGATTTCAGAGTGCCAACTATTCCCAACAGCTTGTAATTTTCAGGTGTGCCCATGAACATATATTCCAGTGTAGTATACTCATCATTACAATACAATCATCTGCAACTGTTTCTATCTGTAAGTTATCACCAAATATAAAGCTAAGGATGAAAGCTCCAAAGAAACTGGAAAAGGAATAACAAACTCACAACACACATACTTAGAAAGGCATACAGTTTCTTAAATTGGGGAAAACATGACGAAAATGAATTTTTCATATTACATTGTCAACCTAGCATCAGCCTGGAGTGCTGTTGATCTACAATACCAATGATCCTCCACGCCCCACAAAAACCAAAAATAATAAGTAAACAACCAAGCATGAGAGTATACATAGACTACAGAGTTTCAATAAAGTCTCCAGTTCAGCATAAATAAGCATAAATGAAAAGGACAAAAACACAACCTCCTAAAATCATAATCAACCACAGGAGAAGAGAATTCATTGTAGTATAGCCAAAAATAAAGCCAATAATACCTCCTGAAACGAATACAAAATCGGAATTAGCGGCGAGCAATAACACCTTCTTTAATCACTTGTACTTTCCTTCAGGCTTCATCAGTTACTAATAAACTCCAATTCAGATCTCCATCACCGCCTCGCGCTTCCAATTCTCGCGAATTCAATTTCTCGAACAGCTACGCTTCGGAGCGGCGGAGATTGAACCCTGTTCAGTAATTCCTCGACTCGCCACTCCGAAACGAGAAATGTGAAGGAGAAGTAGCGGCAACAAGTACACCGAACAATTCAAACACTCAACTAATTTCGATTAAACAATGTGCGGGCGGGCGGGCGCATGGAAATTTGGAGATGTGTATTTGATTGTGGAACGGATATGGAAAGCTGAGTAGGAGAGGAGTAATCCAGATTGTGTACGTGCAGAGAGAAATGGAAACATTAATGGGAAAGTCCAAACTCCAAACAACTAGGAGCGGTTAGTCAATATAGGAGGATTCACGAAGATCATATGAGTTGCGATACCGACTGCTCGGGAAATAGAGGTCGCGTATTTGTGCGGAACGTGCACGATTTATCTACCTCCCCATCTTGCCTTCTGCTTTTTCATACATTTATCATTTATGATTATTATTATGGACAACTGTAACTGCAATTATTATTATTATATACTACTCCGTATATACTATTAATATCTGTCATTTAATTATTTTTCGTACCAAAATTTCATATTTATATCACACTATAATAAAATTTACCAGTTTAGGTTATTGATAACTGACACCCTCAAATTCAAAATGCCAATAAACAATTCTTATATGGAGAATCCAATATGAAGCTTTACTGTTAAACCAATCTATACCAAGAAGATCAATAAACAATTCTTATGAGGAGTCAAGCATAAAACCTTATACTAATTATCAAACAAATTGCCCAACGATGAACAATAGTGTTGATTGATGTTAATTAGCAACGAAACACAAAAATATTATTATAAAATGTAGTGTCAATACGATATGATCGTATCTATAAACATTATATAATTATTTCTATATAGTTATAGATTATATGTGATAGAGATTATACTCTGAGCGTACGGGCGACCTACGATCGGGCAACACCGTGTGGACTAGCCCGGTCGACCCGGTCAGCGTCATCCTCGGCTCCTACCCGGTCACCCGGTCAACTAGTTGAAGCTGCGACCCACGTGTTCAGCTACATGTTTGCCTCCGCGAACCCTGTGCATGAATGCCACGTGCCCGTCATGCCGGAAGACCGGGCACTGCTCCCTAGGCTCTCTATAAATACAGCATTTATTACCCTAGAGAGGACTTTTCACCTGCTCCCTAGGCTCTCTATAAATACAGCATTTATTACCCTAGAGAGGACTTTTCACCTACTGAACACACTGTAATTAAGAGATTCCCGGTCACGATTAGACTAGTTACCTTCACCCGATGATTTAATCTACATCGGTACCTAATATTATTCACAATAAAAATATGAAAATTTGTGTAACATCACTTTTTATTCCGACCACAATTTATTATATTTTTCATAATTAATATTAAACTTTTGACACTTAAACTAGAAAAAAACACATGGCAGCTTGTTAATGATTTGGGAGGAAAAGATGATTTGCAGAGGGCATGTGTGACAGGGGACCAATTTGAGAGATTCAGAGAATGAGCACTAAGGACGCAAAAGATGACCAAATAAAGGAAACAGTAATTGGTTTCACATTTTCAGAATAAACAATCATATACGTTGCTAGTATGTATGTATGTACAACTGTTTGTGTGTAACTTAATGCAAGGAACCATTATCCTGGTTCAGATGCCGTTTTATTGTCCTGAACCAAACACTGTACAACTTTTCATCAATGAAGAGGAGTCAATGCTTGAAAAGAACATAGGCATATGGTGCAAAAGAAGTTCAAGAATCAAATGGACTCGTGCTAATCTGGGGTGGAAGCTTGGCATAGAGTTCTTTAAGGGCATTGTACAATGGTTCGGCGGCTCTAGGTTGTTCCACCATCCCAAGAAGGATGTCGGCCGTGGTAAGGTATGGATCGCCATAGAAGCGAAGATTAGTATCCATTCTTGTTGCAACGAAGTTTCCCTCGAGTGAGACTCCAACAAATGCACCTACAGCATTTACAAAAAAAAAAAAAAAAAAAAAAAAAAAAAAAAAAAAAAGTCAATAACTTTAACACCCTTTATACTAGTACAAACTAGTTGAGAACTTCAATAAATTAATTGGGTCTATCAATGGCCAGAGGTCCCTTTTTATCTAACCAACTCAAAGTTTTAGCATTGTTATACAAGTTACCCTGAGATTTTTGTGAATACTGAAATTGAAGATAGGCTAGGATCATGTGTATTTACCTTTACTACAACTGTAAGTATAGCACATCCCAGAACCCTTGTCTCCAGCACGCATATCTGCCTCCACGACCCTCCCAATTGGACCTGCTGCGACACTGCAGCCAGCACCAAGAGAAAAGTGCATGCGACTACAAAACGTCCTCACAGCTTTAACGTCATGTAGCACAATTAATAAGTCCATGAGCTCACCTCCAACCTATAATAAAATAAGAAGGAAGAAGCAAAAGATCAAACCTCAGGAAAACTGGGGAAACAAACAGCTCACACATGACAGCAGGATTTAATCCAAGTACACAACATTTGAACATGTAATATACCTGTGCACCCCATCCCAGACCAATTGAGACTATTGCTGATGGTGCAGACCACGATCCATCTGATTTTCGGGCAACTACCAGCCCAGTCCCAAGTTTGTAAGTAAGAAGAGCACCAACTTTGGCAACAGTTAATATTGCTAGACCTCTGGCTCCTTTCAGAACAGCTGCAGGTATGGACCTCTCAGGGTTCAACCGAGCAACCTGCTCTTGTCAAGAATTACAGAGTATTATGCTAATTAATACTGTATTTGGAAAGAAAGGGCATTGCCTTATATATAGAACCAGTAAATAAAGTCCCCATTGTATATTACTCCGTACATTTTAATTCATCCAGGAGAGAATTCCAATAGAAACATAGACAATAAATATAGCTATCAACATTACTCTGGCAAACTTTTTTTTAATTAAATGAACAAGAAATATTTATCAACAAAAAAAAAAAAAAAAAAAGACCTAGTTAAGAATCGAGACCTGAGCATAACTCCTCAATGAATTAGATGCCTTGTATATCTCATACTCCATGGAGAAACCAACTGGAAGATTTAGCCAGGCTCTTGAGCTAGTCCAGTCCATGACATCATGCTTTGCAACCTGCATAGCATTGCTGATGGTATGGATAAGTACACCTTGCAGTGGATCAAGCCTCTCATAACAGGTGTCACAAACCCGTTGTGGGTTTCTATCCCTAAACTTTACAGGTAATAAGCATCTTCCTTTTGAACAAGCCCTACAAAATATTCCTCCACAAAACCGACAATGATGTCTTCCACGAGTTAAGGCAGTGAAGGGGGCAGTGCACTGCATGCAAACAGTAGTTGAACTGTCTTTAAGCCACTCTGGAGGTTCAGCTTCCAACACCTCCTTGTAAGCAGTATAGTCAAATGCATTTGGCTCCAAGAGAGGAGGAGCACTGGGTATGTATACAGAGGAGTGCAAGAATGTTTCTCCATTCTTTCCAGATCCAAGAAATGAAACATTTGAACTAGGCATTTGAGAAACTACATTACCAACTGCATCTTTATTACGTCCTGTAATGATGGAAAACATCCCACTCAACACATTTCTCAAGTTAACCTCAGGAGGACTACCCTGTGATACATAGCTATACTGATCATCACTGGAATCATATCCTCCGTCTTCTAAATCAGACTCTAGTGAAGGGTACGAATAACAATAATCATTTTTCTTGCGGTTTGGGTTATCTGGCAATGCCCAGGAAGCATCATCGTAGTCTTTGACGGCATGAAATTTTCCATTCTGCTTTTCTACATTGGAAATTGAGGAATATGAAACTCTACCATCTGCTGAAACCATATCCATTACAGACAGCTAAAACCCAAATCACCAAGGGT